GCATGTACTGTTTACGTGCTGTAAATCGTTTCCCACTCATAGGAAAACCACTCTAAATTAGAATCAATAATATTTAGCCAGAAACGAGGTGTGACAGAGTTAAAACTAATTTGGCATGTCATCATGACCAAAGACAGCGATTAGTTTTAGACCTGCAATGCTTCACATTTCTTATGCCATAAGGTGTGATTTGTTGAGTATAGACAGTGTATTGTTACCTGTTTTCATCCAGGACTGTATATTCCTTGGGGGAGGAAGTAAACCACAGACAGAATATCAATCTACAATCTACTACCACAACGGCAGCCCCAAGTGGAATGAAACTATTAAAGTAAGTAATTTTATTACTTCTCCATTAAGAAAAGAAATTATTCGATTTGGTTAACAGCATAAGGGGTCAGTGACCCCAAAATCGTTGTCGGTAGGGTGATGGCCAACAGCGTGCCGACAAACTACCTACATCCCACCCACAACCTACTAACATCCTAATGACTCTACTGACAACCTACTGACACACCCTACTGACACCTTATTAACACCCTATTGACACCTTATTAACACCTAGGTACTGACACCTTATTAACACCCTACTGACACCTTATTAACACCTACTAACACCCTACCGACACCCTACTGCACTCTACTGACACCCTACTGACACCTACCGACACCCTACTGACACCCTACAGACACCCTACTGACACCATACCGACACCCTACTGACACCCTACCGACATCCTACCGACACCTTAACATACAACTTAACATATGACGTGCAACTTGCTTACGATTGTAAGTGGCATCTAAAACTTGGCGCGAGCATGTTATACGTGACAATTGCTTAGACAATAACAAATCTTTCTTTCAGGTCCAAATTCCTTTCGAGAAATTCTACGGTTCYATTTTGAGATTTGGCTTCAGACACTTGGCTAAATTCAAGGACAACGATAAAGATTCCAAGACCTTTGCGTTCTCTTTCCTCAAACTGATGAGAGAAGACGGGACAACGATAAACGATTGCTTACGCGAACTTTGTCTTTATAAGGTAACAAAGGATRCTTTAAAAACRAAAAATCGTTAATGGCTTCTTTTYATTACMAGGCGCGATTACACGAAGCAATTTTCTCTGCARCTTATCTCGCGACGGCGTTGTGACATAAGTTGCATGGAGCATTGCAGCGTGTAACCTACAGCGCAATTTGGAAAAATATTGCGAGACAGTWKCAGCATTGGTTGMAAAAAGTAGAATTCGTTACTACCCTTGGCAATGTTTGCGTCTCCATTGCAYCGTGTACAAACTCTTGCAACTTGTGTCGCAACRCTGTTGCAGAAAAAGTCGCTCCGTGTAATCGCGCCTATACTACGTCTTGCTATACCAGAATCCTCTTCGGATTGYTTTTTTCTTATTTGAATGTTTGACTCCATTGGTAGTCGCAATTTTATGGTGCTAATTAGGCCAGTAAAAGTATCCTGGTAGTATTTGGTATCGAGACGTTATAAGAGGAACGAAGAATCCAAGATGCTTTTTATTGGCACCCAAATTCACCCACAATCCTTTGCAGTATGATTTCATTATCTCTCATCCATTAGACCTAAGGGGAACGAAGAACCAAAGGTGCTTTTTATTAGGATTCAAATTTACCCACAATCCCTTGCAGGCTAGTTACCTTGTTTTTGTCTTATTTCAGTTYGAGAAAAACACATTCTACGACTCCAAAGCGTACATCAACATGCCATCAACAGCGACTGAAGCCACAACCATCAATTATTCCTCACAAGACAGAGTTGCTCGTTGTMCCAAGGAAACTTTTTTTGTGCGAACAGTTGTCTGCTCCACCAAACTTACACAAAACGGTACTGCGCAATACCCTAAATATGTGTTTRTAATGTCCATTGGTTGTTGAAAATGTCACTTATTGATTGGTTGATTGCCGTGGTAAATAAGAGTGTATAACACGGCCGTCACCTAAGGGGTTCGGATAAGCTTTTTCCCATTATGATTTCTATGTTACAATATAAGTTTATGATTTTATAGTTTATATAGTCTTGTTTGCTCCAATTTACACTATCATATAAATGCTAAAAAAAATTGAGTGCGCAAACCTTGGGATCGAAATAAAAGGAAAATGGTTACAAAAAAACAGAGCGTTTATGTGCGGACTGAGTTAGGGGAGGCTGAAAGGGGTGCGTGCGGGGATAGTGGTATATTCAGAATTGTTAGTTGTACGTATGGCTAACTGAAAGAAGCTTGACGGCAATTGAATGCAAACATTACAAATTTTGTGCTTTCATTTATTGCAGTTGACTTGGTTGGTTTGTTAAGATGGAGAGAACAAAAACATCAACTACAATTAGTTTTACAGTCTCTAATAAAGATAGACGGTGAAGAGATTGTCAAGGTATGTCTACGGAGATTTTCAGTAATTGTGATGTCTCTTGTATTTTACTGACAAAATGATGGACTACAAAAATGAAACACTCTTTGTCGACGCACTTTTAATATTTGAAAGCCTCAAGTAAAGTAATAGGACCTTTGCAGCTCAGTAATCACGTGCTGATTAATTCACTGAGAGCAAATGAATGAACATCTTGATTCCCATGGGTGAAATATACTGGTGAGCAAACAAACTTTCTACAGCCTGTTTCGAAAGATCGTGATAAAACTACATTTCGTAACACACTGGTTACACACCGTTTCATTCAGTTCTTTACAAGTAGCTTGATTCAATTGAATGAGAGGTTTTGGATATCAATACTAGCCATTACAAGGTTGAGGAAATAACTGGGTCGAATTGACATTTGCAGTGCATCGTGGGGCTGTTTTAGGGAACGTTTCCAAGATTGCGTCTATTTTTTCTCCCCTAAAGCAGCCCCACAATGCACTGCAATGCTAACTCGTCCCAGTTTTCCTCATCCTAAAATGGCTTATATCACCAGGGGCTAGATAATATTTATTCTAAATCATCATGTTGTCATGACAATGCTGAGACATCTGCTAATCAGTTCAGCAGTCATTCAACAAGATAGACCCACCCAGACTCATGAACGTAAAAAAGTCTAATAACTAAATAAATGACAATGCATTTTTTATATCTTTATTCTAGTTTCTTCAAGATATCTTTGACGCTTTGTTTTGGATTTTAAACGAGAGTATCGAGGAGTATGGCAACCTTGTTTTCCAGGCAATGGTGAGTGTCGGTCAAATGTACCTTTTGAAAAGATTTATAAAGTTTAAAAATCGTAAAGGTTTCTTTGTCCTACAAAGAAACTTTTTAGAAAGATAAAAAGAAAATAGCAAGAAGAAAGGAAACGGAATGGAAAAATGTTCTATTATAGGCCTTTTCGGAGTTTGAGAGCTTGGGTACAAACCGGCAACGCCATATRAGACATGATAATGAACAGAAGAMGATTGTTCCCWAGCTAGACCACAATGCATCACGTTTGATACCTCATAAAAGGTCTATCCTGCATGTAATACTGCAGATATAAACCAGAAGACAGTCTATTAGTTTTTCATTAAGTTTTTATTCCCGTTCTGTTAGGTCTTCATTATTTGGATTCTGTCCAATAAGAAATACCAGCACTTCCAAGCAGTCCTAACCACGTACATAGAGAAGCACTTTAGTGGAACTATCGCTCACAAGTAAGTCACTAGTGTTAGCCGGACACTGCTGACTCAAAAAYGTACAATGCGCATGTTCGGAAAATCACGGGCAGGCACCGACCACTTGTCGACAACGCCATCCTATTTTAGAAGAGTGTCGATATCTTTTTGATGCC